CGAATGTAGCTCATGCCTTTTGATCAAATACAATATAGACTAAAGTATTGATTCAGGCCAGATGATTTATTTCCATCCATATGACCCGTAAAATGAGCGGAGTTTTACCTCGATGCCCCTCACTCCTTCATGATGTGGTAGTTAGGTACAGAGGGAACGTCATATTTCAAACTTCAGCTTGTACAGATAGGACACTTCGCCATTAATTTACTAGAGAACAAATTAAAAGCTTGCTAAGAGCCTAGACTCCTGCTTTCGTATTATTCTGAAGAACTACTTTTGCCCACTCAGACGGCCGTGGATTGTGTATTTAGAAACCAAACATCGGAGATAACTGTTCCTGAACTCCCCTTTTCCTTGCACCATGTATCCAGGACAAGTATCGTTATCTGTGAATAAGTAAAGTAATTAAACGTACTGTTACGCTTATAAAGTTGTCTGGTGATGATTATCACAAGCGTACCAACTTACTGGAACATGTTGCTGTAGAAACCAATTGAACTTTTTGTTTTTCTTCTCAGGATTGTCCAACGCCATTTTGAGGAAATATAGTCACCGATTGATTTGAAATCGTAGTAATTTTTTTTTTAGAAATCAGTTATTGTATTTTCGAAAATTGTACGCCTTTTCTTGCAATTTCATGTTTCGTTATACACAAGTTAGCTTAAAGTGTTCATACTGTTTAACTTGCTAAAATTTTCATACAACAGATGCTGATAGTCGCTCGTCTGATCACGAAATTTCCCATCGTTTATGGAACCCGAAGGTTAATTACCGTGTTCAAAAGGACCCCCGCCATAGGTAGGACCCTGTCCTGAGCTACAACACCAGCAGAAGCCAGTGATATTTCTGTCGCTCATGTAGGATGTGAGGCTTTCGTGGCTGTGAGTCTGCAGATGGCTGTCTTCTGTCGCTCACTTTTCATGGCGTGCGCCTAATAATTTATCACCGCGTGTTCCAGATCTGTGACGTGGCCCATTATATTCATATGCGAAAACCCATCCAACCCTGTTGACGTTTCGTTACTGTTCAAGGTGTTCTGTATCACAGAACGTAGCAGAATAATTTCATTTGCAGCTCTGGCGTAGATTCAAGTTGTGATGGACATCCCTACATCGAGAAACGATAAAAGTAAAATGTGCGGGCCGGGAAAGATGGATAGTACGGAGTGTGAATGTCGGTGTTTTGTAATTGTGGTACTTGTAAATAGACGTGAGATGCGTGTTGCATACTTTGTAACCTTCCAGCTACAGAAGTTTATTTATTGCCTGTCTGTAGTATTTTTACATTGGATGTGTCTAAGCCAGCCTCTTAAACTCCAGCTTAGAGGTTACTGAAGTTGAAATTTATTTATTATTCCTCTTGTTAATATTTATTAGATTCTCAGATCTTTGAATTCCGAAAATATTAACAAACCACGAACCTGAACGCCAATCCATGAAGGCGTGTAGGAGGAACAGTGGTACAAGTCCATGCTTTTTAATCTAGGCGTTAAGATTTGAGGTTTTCACGGCTGTCTTGTGGGTTGTAGCGCCGTGTAGTCTGGTAGAAGTTTACCAGCGTTTCAGACGTACTTGCTGCCTCTATCGTCAGGGCGATGACTCATCGCAACATGACAAAAATCCTAGGTATTGCTCATGACGCGTTAACTTGTCGCTTTATCCGCGTTGTCATCCTTATGGGATGCTCGAAGTTTTCTCGGGTCGATCGAAGCTGTGCAGAAGAAACCGACAACGTCGTTGAATAAATCACAAAGAGACAAAGAAAAAGAGAGAAATCCTTCTCTGGCCATGAATTGAATTTTATTTTTCCAGTCCATAACCATGTCTTAACCGATAACCTGACTAAACCAGCGTTTAAAAATACGAATTTTAACCAGAAGTCAGTCACCTTTTAAGCGTCACTAAAAATCTGATGGTGTATAATGACATTGTCTTCAGACTTCCTGTATTTTTAAGTAATAGTTATAGTAGGTTTTGTTTGAAACTGCCAAATGTTTTAACTGTGTTGTAAACTGTGTATTCTGGTCCTTGAAGGAGGGATTGTGTTTAGGGGCAGTGACTCGTGGGACGCGTGTGGACCACAGTTAACAGCACGCAGTCTTAAGATAAACAATTAAACTTACACACTGCATTTGCATACACATGGCAGCCCACAGCATTCCTAACAGCAGGACTTACTTATTATGGAGGTGACGGTGTTGCAGGTTTTATAGGCGTAATTGTGTTCTGGCAGCGTACTGACAGCACTTAACGCCCCCGTTCTACTGTCTCCTATCTGACAAGTTCCTTTTTTGACTATAGGAATACAGACATATGAATATCATGTGCGAAAGTTCTGATTTACCTTCTTAATTTTTCAAAGAAACCGTTTCGTTCAAGGAGAGCGATGTGCAAAATAGGCTTTATCTCCAAAACAAATCCATCTGAACTATTAGTACTGTCTGTCTGAGCTGAGAATTGACTGGACTTGGTATCTGTGACGTTATGCAGAATGCTGCCTTAAAAGATTGCTCACTATTAAAAATGTTGTCACGATTGTGTAATCAGTGGTCCGGCGAATATACTAAATTCTGTACGAAATATGTAAAATATAAGAATGAGGTTATGTAACCCGGTCACATCAGAACCCTGATGATAGGGACAGACGGTCCCTGAAACGTCGGTTTTATTCAATTGAATAATTTTTTTTGGATATTATCCATCGTCTAGTAAATATAAAACGTAAAACGACGTTTCGGAGATGGGACTCTATCTCCGTCTTCAGGTTCCTACACAGTTGGGCCAACTAGATAGAGCTAATCCCTATCTCCGGACAAAGTAAAAAAGT